GTGCGTGTGTGTTTGGCTAGGAACAAGTTTGTGGAATTTTTTAGAAACGAATCATTATTATTATTATTATTTTTCGTGGGAGGTTCTTTCCCGGAAACGGAAAGTTACTCGTTTAACTTTCGGCGGTTTAATAACATTCCTTTTCCTTCCCTTTTTTTCTTTTTTTTGTATTTTCGTTTTCCTCTTTTTTTTATATATTTCGACGAAGTAAAAATATTTTAGATTTTTTCATTTTTGTAAACGAGATTTCGACTTTATTATTATTATTATTATTATCAGTATCACTCATAATCCCGACGATTCGTCTGGATGTTTGTGTGTGTCGGATTGTTTTTCAACATTTATATTCCAGGTTTCTAACCCCCCCGATCCCTAAGGAATATGAGTGATGATGCTGCATGCCTGATGGATGATAGGTTTCGTTTCGTTATAACCTATGACGTCACAACAATTCTTGTATGTCTCATTGAGACCATCTTATCCGATCGAAATCCACGTTTTACTCATTCTCGGGTCGACGAGAGAACGATTATTATTATTATTATTATTATTATTATTACTATTATTTTCGATCGTTTTTCTACGGGATGAATTTATTGTATTTAATTAACTCGTTTTTAAAATTTAAACCCGCATTTTTTCTGCCATTTTCTGCGTCCCGTCATTACGTGTGCACCAACTTTTCACTGTCGTGCGGTTTTTAATTACTGTAGTTTGACGTCACGAAAGGAGGGAAAAAAAAAAAACAGAAATGTGAACAATGTGACAGAATCAATATTATTTTTATTCCATTTCATCATCATTATCATCATCATCATCATCATTATTATTATTATTATTCTCATTACTATTTATTATACATTATGTATTTTTTCTACGTTCGAATGAATCGACCCGTATCGAATTTTATGAAAAATTATCATCATTATCATTTTTGTATTTTTTAAAATAAATTTTGTGAATTATTATTATTATTATTATTATTATTATTATTATTATTATTTTAATTTTCAGGTTGTCGTATTGATTGGAAAGTAAGAAAAAATCATAAGTAGTGGTAGTAATAATAATTATAAACAAAAGTAAAGTTAGAGAAAGTAAAGGGGAATAAAAAGAGACTAAAGGTTTTGTAAAAGAATAAGAAAAAGAAGAAAAAGGAAAAGAGAAAAAAGAAAGAGAGAAGTAAAAAAAAAAAAAAAACAATAATAATAATAATTATGAGATACATTGAATGATGGGATTCTCAAATGGAGAAATCAATCGATTCGAGAGAGGAGGATGGAACAGAAAACGTCACGTTCACGGAAAACAAAATCTTAATAAGCGAACAACAGCAACAACAACAACAACAGCAACAGCAACAGTTACAGCAGCAAAAGAAGAAAAAATTAGTTTTTTTTGAAATAGACGATGGTGACAATGCCGAGACGGATTACAAAGATTCCAACTTCAAATTCAAAGGTAAAAAAAACAAAGAAACAAACAAACAAACGATGAAACAATCAAACAATCATTGTTTCATTATCATTATTATTATTATTATTATTATTTTATCTCCTCCTCCATCTTTTTTTTTTTTTTAAACAGAAAAATTCATTATTTTGAAAAAAAAAAAAAAAAGAAGAAAAAATCGAGTTTATATTTCCTCCTTCTCCCACCGCCTCTCTTTCCCTCCCTCCCTTCCTTCTTACCTCCTCCTCCTCCTCCCCTTTTTCCCTTCATTTCTTTTCGAGTTTCATATATCATTATCATTATCATCATTATTTTTCTTTCTTTTTCTTTTTTTTTTTTAACTCGTCAAATTGAAAGTTAATGTGTTGCAACATTTGAAATAAGCTAAATTAGTTTTTTTTTTCTTCTCCTTCCTCCTCCTTTTTCTTCTTCATCTTCATCTTTTTCTTTTTCTTCTTGTATTACAGTAATAAAAAAAATTTTTTTTTTCACAGCAAATGCTGAACCTTAGCAAAAAAAAAAAAAAAAAAAAAAATAGGCGGGGACACGATTTTTTACGTTTTCGTTTCGTTTTGTGTTTTTTAAATGAATTCATTCGGTCATGTTTTTGTTTTTTTGTTGTTTACGTGGATTGCATGTTAATTCCGATCGTTGTCTTTTCCATTGTTTTCCTTTGTTTTCCATTGTGGGAAGCAAAAAAAAATGATTAACGTCTGTCAATTTTTCTTTTTTCTTTTAATTTTTCTTCTTTTCGCTTTTCGCTTATTGCCACGTTTAAATAATTGTAAAAAATTATTTGTACGATTTTGACAGTTTTGCGGAGGGTAGGGGAGGGGAGGGTTTACACGAAAAACAAACAATAACAACGCAAACTCAAAACAAACGATTGTTTTTAAAAAATAATATTCTTGGAATTTTTTTTTTTTGTTTTTGTTTTTGTATGAGAATCGAAACGGAAATGAATTTTTTGTACCGTGAAAAGAAGAATCCAACAAAAAAGAGAGAGAGGAAAAGTCGTAGAAAAGGATAGAAAAAAAAAGAAAAATTTCAATCGATTATTGTTGTTGTCGAACGGTAATAATTATTAATTATCGTTTGAGGATTTTAATTGGTGGTAGCCAACCATAATAGTATAGCAGAAGAAATTAATTTAATTAAAAAAAATTCTTTTCGTTCGTCCTTCGATTTTCCTTTCGTTTTTAAATTTAAAAAAAAAAAAAATTTTTTTTGCTGTAGTTTGTTGCTTTTGCTGTTGTTTGTAGCTGTGGTTGTTGTTTTTTGTTGCTGTTGTTATTGGTATTTGAAAACTCGTTGGAGATTTTTTTGATTATTTTAATTTTCTCTTTCGTTCGTGTCAGTTTTTTTTAAAAAATTATTATTTTTATTATTTGGATTTGATTGCGTCATTTTTGTTTTTTTTTGTTTTCGACGGCTACTTCCGGTTATTTACTCTATGTGACGTCTCGTGTAAGATGATTTGAAAAACGAAAGAGAAAAATTTTTTTCTTTCTCTCTTTTTATTTTCTAATAGTTTGTACCGTTTTGAAACTAAACAAAAAAAAAAAAAAAAAGAAAGAAAAGAATTTGGAGGTTTAACAACTCGACCGAAGGGTTTTTTTTTTTAATTTGCGGTTCGAGGGTTGAATGTAAAAAAAAAAAAAAAAAGGAAAAGAAAAAAAAAACGAGGGAAGAGAAAATAAAAAATAAAAAGAAAATTGCTTATAAAAAAAAAAAAAAGAAAAATAAAAAGGAAAAAAAGGTTAAAGTTAAAATTTAAAAAAAAAAAAAAAATAAGAAATTTCGATAAAGAATCATTTTATTATTATCATTATCATTATCATTATTATTATTTTAAAGTTTTTTTTTTTTTTTTAAATTGACTTTCATCCCGTATTATTTAATAAGGCAAAAAAAAAAAATTTTTTTCGTTTATACATCGGGAGAAAGTCAATTTTCAACTTCGTTAATTTTTTTTTTTTTTTTTTTACAAATTGAATTTTTAACTTTTTTTATATATATATAAATAGTAATTATTATTATTATTATTATTATTATTATTATTATTATTATTATTATTATTACTATTATACTATTATTATTATTATTATTGCTGTATTACAAACGATTTAATTTTTTTTTTTTCTCTTGCGAGAGATCTTTTTTTTTCTATATTATTAAGGCTTTTTTCTCTCTCTCTCTCTCTATATATATATATATATATATATCTTTTTCGACTTGTCTTTTTCCATATAAAAAAGGAAAGAAAAAGGAAAAGGAACGTATGCAATTTTGTTCGCGTTTTTATTAATAATAATAATTAGATTTAAAAAAAATTTTTTTTTTTTTTCTTAAATGAGGTTTTATTAATTGTTTTAATTTCGTTTTTGTTCATCTGTAAATATTTCGGTTGATTTATGAAATAATAATAATAATACGAATGATAAGGATGATAATGATGATAATTTTTTTGTGACGTGGACGATTGTATGCGAATAATTATTATTGTTATTCCGCCGGTTAATCAAATTTTCCGTACGATTCGGCTACGAGGCGGCCATTTTTTTTTTGTTCTGTTTTTAAAAAAAGCGCGCGTTTTAAAAAAAAAAAAAAAACCGTTAATTTGAAAATTTATTTGATCTCGTTTGTTAGTTTGTTTTGTAAGAAGTGGTAGCAGATAATGAGCCACGTTTTCTTTTTTTTTTTTTTTTTGTTTTTCCGTATTTTGTAAAATTTCGATAGAGAGAGAGAGAGAGAGAGAGAGAGAGAGAGAGAGAGGAAGAGGAAGAGGAAGAAAAAGAGAGTGAAAGAAAAAAAGAAAGAGAAAGAATGATTTGTTCTACATTCTTGGAAGAATTTCTTTTTTTCTTTTTTTTTTTTTTTTTTTTAAAAAAATTGCTATTTATCAAATTCTCTTCCGGTTTTTTTCTGTTTCTCCATTATTATTATTATTATTATTATTATTATTATTATTATTATCATCATTTTAAATTTAATTAAAAGAAAAAATAAAAGTAAAACAGAAAACGGGAGGAAAACTAAAAAAAAGGGAGAAAAAAAAAGGAATGAAAAAATTAGTTTCAACCGAAAATTTGTTTTGTTTTTTTAATTCAATTGTTTGTTGTTGATTCTCTTATAATTTTCCAAACGGGGGGTTTATTTTTTATTTGTTTGTTTGTTTGTTCGTTTGTTTGCTTGCTTGTTAGTTTGTTTCTTTATTTAATGTTTTTTTTTTTTTTTTCAAAGGGGGAAAAACAAAACAAAAAAACCGTAATGTGTTCGTTAATTTTTTTTCCCCCCCTTTTTTTTTATAAGCATCATTTTATTATCATTATTTTTTTACAAGTTCAACAGGTGGAGAGTTTGATCGTGGTTTCACATTTGACCCGAACGAGGCAAAAATAATAATAATAATGTCAATTTTTTTTTTTTTTTTAGAACTTTACTGTCCGACAAACAAAGATGGTGACATCGTCATCGGCAACAGTGAATTACCTCGGATGCAAAATGACAATAATCACGCGAATTACAAATCATGTCAGTTGTCATTGATGTCCGGTGACGTCAGCAGAATGATGTTTGACGATTTTGGTATAGATTTAATTGAACTTCAAAATAGGTACGTAATGAATGGACGAACGCGAGCATGCATATCGATAAATCGATAGATCGATCGATCGAACGATGCGTATCGAGTTTTTAATTTGTTTTTGTTTTTTTTTTCCATCCATCTACCTCGACACCGCAGGATATTAGAATTAGAAAAACAATTGAAAAATGATAATTTGGAACTTCCGCCGATATTCAGCGATCTCAAGTCACAGGTTGAAAATTTTCGCAACAAACTCGAAACGACGGAAAGGTATAAGAAAATCGAATTGCAAAAGGAACCATTTTGTCAAAGGTATCAATATAGGAGAACGAGTAGCGAGAGAGGGCGGAAAATTCGAGAAAAATTTTTAAACGTTTGGTAAGTTCAGTCTCTTTTCTTACTCAATAATTTTATAAAGAGAAAAAGTGAAAATTTGTGGAGAGTGAGAGAGTGAAAGTGTGTGAGAGAGAGAGAGTGTGTGAGGGAGAGAATGAGAGAGAAAGAAAGGGAGAAAGAGAGAGTGGGAAGGAGAGAAAGAGAGAAAGAAAAGTTTTGGCAAAAATAACGATTAGAGTTGTTGTTGTTGTGACATTTTTCAACAAGGTAGGAAAAGAAAAAGAAAATGGCGGAAAGAGGAGAAGGAGAAGGGGACGGGGGGGAAATCAATAAAAAAAAATTTGAAATTTTTTTAATGATGGAAAATGGCGGGAAATTTTTTTCCCGGAAATGTAAGCAATTCAAACGTCATAGCCTTTTGAAAAAAAATGTTTAATCGTAACGGATTTCCGTTTTAATGATAAATACAACGATGACGTCATTACATTATATATCGAGAAAAATAAAGCGGGGGGAGGATAGGGGGAGAGAAAAAAAAAAGAAAGAAAAAAAAAAGAAAGAAAAAAAAATCAGGTGATTAATTACGAAAAAGTAAAAGGAAAAAAAAAAAATCCAGTTTTTCTCATTTCTTTTATCTTTCCCGCTTCCGCCCATCTCTCCTCTCCTCCCATTTCTTTACTCTCTAAAACGCTCCCTTTTTTACGAGGGGAGGGGAAGTGAGGGGGGAAAGGGAAAGGGAATTTTTTTTTTTTATATAAAAGAAAATTTTAATCAGTTAAGAAAAATGTGTTAATTTTATTAATAATATTTTTTTTCATTTTCTTTTTAAATATTCCGGTCTGAAAAACACTTTAAATGGAATTTATTTTCATTTAATTCTCTACTCGTTACCGTTTCGCCCCTCACCCCCTCGTCTCCCATTTCATCCCCCTTATTCTCCCACCTCTCACCCCACCCCCCTCGTATTTCGGATCGTGCCTCCTTTTTTTTTTGCAATTTAAACAGAATCAAAATTTGTTTGGTATTTTTTTTTAAAAAAAAAAGGGGTAATAATTAAAATGATAATTAAATTTTTTAATAATAATTTTTCTTGTTGTTGTTGTTGTTGTTGTTGCGGTTGTTGTCGTTGTTTGTAAACAAAAACAAACTCTTCGGTTAGAAACATTTATATGTATGTAAAAAGGAAGATGAGGGAAATTTTTTTACATTTCCTCTCCCTTTCCTTCCGACCCGACCTTTTCTTAACCTTTTTCTTCTTCTTCATCATCATCATCTTTTTCTCTGTTTTTCCACTTCGTTTATCGATTCGGTTATTTATTATTATTATTATTATTATTATTATAAAAGTAATCTTAGCGTTCGAAAACCGTTTTTACGATTTTCCTTTCGTTAATTTTGTTTAATTTGTTTTTTTTCTGTTAAATTTTATGTTTTAATAATATTTTGATTTTGTTTTCGAATTTCTAGAAACGTTTAATTTCATTCGGTAGATTAAGATTTATATTCATTTTATTTTCTATCTCTCTCTCTCTCTCTCTCTCTCTCTGTGTGTGTGGGTGCGTGTGTCTGTTTCTGTCTCTATCTCTCTCTTTCGTGTACGTTTCTTTAATTCTCTTGATATTTCTTTTTCTAATAATTTTTTTAACTTTTTATTACTTTCTTCGAAATCTTTTTTTTTTTTTTTTTTTTTTTTTTTGGGTCGTTCACTTTTTCTTCTACTTGTTTGGCTTTCGATTTTACTTTTTTTTTTTGGGGGGGAGAAGAGGGGAAGGGGATTCGTGCGTTTAAAAAAAAAAATCCTAAAATTTTCCACCTATTTATAATTCGAACGGGAAATTTACTCCCTTCTCTCTCTCTCTTTTTTTTTGCTTGTTTAAGTAATTCATGATGCGATTTTCTTAATTTCTCTCTTCCAGTTTTTTTTTTTTTTTTTTTTACGTAAGAAAAGGGTTTAACTTTTGTCTAAAGGTTCGAGAATAATAATAAAAATAATAAAGATAATAAAAAGGAAAAAAGACAATGCAAAAATTTAAAAAAATTTTTTCTGAAAAGAAAATTTTTTTTTGTTTTTTGCATGAAAAGAAAAAAAAATGGGAAAAGGAGGAGGAGAGGGAGGTGGGATAAAAAGGAAAACCCTCGAGGATTTTTTTGTAGAGAGAGAGAAAAAGAGAAGTAGAGGACTTGAGAAGACAGTTGATGATGTAATTTCTTTCAAACCATTTTCTTCGAACCGATAACAAAAAAAAAAAAAAAATGCTTTTAATAATCAATAGCGATAGAGTCGAAAAAGGAAAAGAGAGAGAAAGGAAAAAGAGATCAAGGGCAAAAGATAAGCGGAAGGGACTGAGAGTGAGAGAGAGAGACAGGAGGTGGTGGGAAAATAATAATAATAATATAAACGTAATATTTATTTCGGGTAACCTTCCAGTTTTGTTTCGATTCGGTCGGAAACCATTATTTAATTTTGATGAAAATTTTTGAATTTCCGCTTCCGGTTCGAATCGATTCATCGACACGACAATCGAATCGATATTTGAAATATTCATTTGTTCAATGGTGAATCGAGAATTTGTCGACTCTTAATAATAATAGTAATAATAATAATAATAATCGTTTAAGTCATCATCGTAATGGTGGCGATCCGTCGATCCATCGATCCATCGATCGATTGATCGATTGTTTTTTAAATAATGTTTGTTCTTTTTTAATTTCAGCGAGAAAGAAATCAGCAAACCGATAATCGAATGGCTCAAACAACCATCGTTCGATTCGATGCAATACGAAGACGAAGAAATTCTTTTGTTTCTCCAGCACATGTTCCTGGAATTGGGTTTGGTAAAAAAATTCGACATACGGTTGCCGACTTTGAGAAATTTCCTATACGAAGTTTATAAAAATTATAACGAAGTACCTTTTCATAATTTTCGCCATTGTTTTTGCGTCGCGCAAATGGTAAGTTTATTTTCTCTCTCTCTCTCTCTCTTTCTATCTCTATTTATCTATCTCTTTCTTTCCTGTCTTTATTCTTTCGCGCGAACGAATGATAACGGGAAAGGTGGGGAGAGGGAGGAACAAAACGAATTTTTTTTTGAAAAAGGCAGACGACACATTATGTTGTGGTTTGTATCGTCGTCGTCGTGGTCGTGGTCGTCGTCGTCGTCGTTAATCTAATTACACGATTATCGTTTAGTAATAAAATTTGATTTTATTAACAAAACAAAACAAAAGGAATTTTCCAGACGCGCGGGAAAAAGTGGGAAAAATTCGTTAAATTTAATTCCGATGAGTCTTTATCATTTTTTTTTTCAATTTTTCCCTCCCTCTTCCCTCTCCTCCTCTCCCATACGCCCACCCTTGATGATTTTTCAACCGGAAAACTGGAAAATTTATTTTATTATTATTATCATCATCATTATTTCCACCGAAGTAATATTAACGGATTCGCATTTAATTTGTTTTTTTTTTTTTTTTTTTTTTTAAGATTAAAAGATTTTTTAAAATCGTTTCGTTTTCACAAAAAAAAAGGAAAAAAAATGGAAAATGTAATTATATTTTTCTAATGCCACGTTTATTAAAAAAATATATACATATACATATATTTATTTATGATGCGGATATTTTTTTTTTTTGATTGATTTGTTTGTTATTTATTAAAAAATAGAAAGAAAGGAAAGGAAAGGAAAAAAATAGGGAAAAAAGGTTTCGAGTCCGGGAAATGATATTTTTTAGAGTTTCCTTTGTTTCCTTTTTCTCGTTGAAAAATTTTTTTTATTGGTTTTATATTTTGCTTTCGGTTTCGTTTTCCCTTTTTTTTTGAAAAATTTTGTTTTTCGCATCTTTTACCAAATTTTTCTTTTTTTTTTCTTTCATATTTTTTTCCTTTTTTTATTTTTTTTCATTTTGCTCCATTTGAAAAATTTTTTCATTTCTTTTTTTTTTTTTTGGGGGGGGGGAGATTTGTATTTAAAAAAAAAAATCGAAAAAGGTTTCTTTTACGCTTTAAATCCTTTGGAGAAAAAAAAAGAAAAAAAGGATACTTTTCAAAACGATAATAATCATCTTTTGTCGTTTGAGTCAACATTTAAGTCTTTTCTTATTATTTTCAATAATAAGTTTTTTGTGTTTTTGAAAATCTTTTTATTCTCTCTCTCTCTCACTCGCTTTCATTCTAACGGTTTGATTCGTTGTTTCACTCTCTCTCTTTCTCTCTGTCAATTTGTGCCTTTCTTTGTTTTTTTGCCTCTCTCTCTCTTCCTCTTTCTCTTTCTTCTCTCTCTCTCTCTTTCTTCCTCTTTCTCTTTCTTCTCTCTCTCTCTCTCTTTTTCCTACTGTTTTACCATCTCTGACTCTCTCTCTTTCTCTCTCTTTTCCTATTTATTTTTTTTTTCTCTGCAATTTTTTTCTTTCATATCGTATTTGATAAAATACCGACACGGAAGGCGACACCATCATCATCAAACTCTAATAATTATTAGACGAAAAAAAAAGAAAAGAAATGATGATGATGATAATAATAATAAATTAATTAATTGAAATAATGACCATCTATTTGTGTGTGTGCGTGTGCGTGTGCGTGCGTGAGGGTATGGGAAGAAAAAAAAAAGGTTACAATTATGGTCGATTGATAATAATTATACAGGTTGCTGTTGTTGTTGTTATTTTAGATAATTAATTTAATTACGATTATTTCATTTTATTGAGAGAGAGAGAGAGAGAGAGAGAGAGAGAAAAGGCGGAAAATGACGACGACGACGACGACATATCGAAGGCGTTAACGTTTCCGGTCGCGTTTTGTAAAAAAAAAAAATTAATTACGAGTTCGATAATCATTATTAATTAACTTATCTTTTTCTCTTTCTTTTTTTCGATATAGATGTACGTCATAATGTGGACCGTGGACATACCGAAAAAAATGGGAGATTTGGACGCATTGATATTGTTGACGTCATCGATTTGCCACGATTTAGATCATCCGGGATATAATAATATATATCAGATAAATGCGAGAACGGAATTGGCTTTGCTTTATAACGATATATCGCCATTGGAAAATCATCATTGTTCCGTCGCGTTTAGAATATTGGAAAATCCGGATTGTAACATATTCGCATCCATGGATAAAGAAACTTTCAAGTGAGTTTTCCAATCAATGACTGATTCGAAATAATCCGAAGACGGGGGGGGGGGAGAATCTTTTGCAATAAATAGAATGTATGGGGAAAGGGAGAAAAATGAAATTTCCCTCGAATCGTATCATCATTATTATTTTTTTTAAAAATATTTTTATAAACGCCGTCGCGTGCATTAATCAGTTTAACATCTTCTTCTCCATTTCTGCGAGAAAATGGAAAATAAATCAAAAGTAGGAATAATAATAATAAGGCGAAGAAAACAGAGAGAGAGAGAGAGAGAGAGAAAAAAGGATTTGCGATTTCCGCACGCGCCATTTTTTTTTATTTTAAAAATAATAATAATTCATTTCACGATTTTTTTTTTTTTTTTCCAACCGCGGAAATTTAAAACTTTAAAAGCTTTAGAGAATCATGTTTTGAAAACGTGTGAGAATGAAAAGTTATGAAAGGGGGTTAAGGGGAAGGAGAAGAGGAGGGTAGGAAAAAGTTTCATGGGATTTTTATTTTATTAACGAAATTTCCCCCCCCCCTTTTTTTTATAGAGAAGTTCGCGAAGGAATAATCAGATGCATACTTGCGACGGACATGGCGAGACACAACGAAATATTGACACAGTTCAAAGACGTCACTTCCGAATTTGATTTTTCAAATAAAGGTCATAAAAATTTACTATCGATGATATTGATTAAAGTGGCGGACATATCGAACGAAGCAAGGCCGATGAAAGTTGCCGAACCGTGGTTGGACAGGTTACTCACGGTAATTGATTGATATTTGATCGACCGCCATTTTCACTTTTCCCGACGGTTGCAATTTTTTATTTTTTTTTGTTTTGTTTTAGGAATTTTTCAAACAGAGCGACGCGGAAAAACAAGAAGGTCTTCCGGTGACTCCATTCATGGACAGAGACAAAGTCACGAAACCCTCGTCCCAGTGCAGTTTTATCGGTTTCGTTTTGCTTCCCCTTTTCGAAGCATTGGGAGATTTGTTTCCCGTACTCCAGGTAAGTCGTTGACATCGAGTACGTGATTATTATACCCGCGCGAAAGGTAAACTTATGATTAACGAATGTAATGATTTGATTACGTGACAGGATTTAATAATAGCGCCTGCCAAAAACGCTCTGGAGTATTATAAAAGATTGAACGAAGCTGCCAAAGATGAAAGGATACGTAGAAAATCCGTCGTGGATGCGACGAATGCGGAAAACGGGGAAGAAGTTGACAATCCGGGAATGGTCAAATCGGGGAGTGCTCACAGCGTGAGAAGCAGACGAAGTTTTTGCAATTCTTGCACTCAGGTCTCAGATGACGTTTCCATCGATTATTTTTCTTTTCCCCCCCTTTCCCTTTACGTTTTTAATTTTTTTTTTTTAAAGATCCGACAGAAAAGTAGATCTTCCGAAGAGTTTGAAATCGATTCGGGTCCGCCATTATCTCCGGAAGGAATTTTGGAATTTTTAGAAGATTTAGAAAACGTCGACGAAGAGGAAGAATTCGATGAAGATTTCGAAGATGAGCCCGTGACGGAAGTTGAAGTTTCGGAGAAAACGTTGAAATTTAAAATTTCAACCGAGGGAACGTCTACGAATTTCGTACCGAGAAAAAGTTTTTCGGGTATGTCGTCACGACGCAAAAATTTTCTTTTCTCTTGTGCCCGTCCCCCCCCTCACAAAAAAAAAAAAAAAAAAAAAAAAACTTAAAAGAAAATGTTATGTACTTTAGCAGGTAGCCGAAAAGGGAGCAAAGAAAGGAATCAGTATTCGGAAAACGAACCGGATTGGTCGAAAATGATAAGAGGAGAAGATGGTAAATTCCTTAAGAGAAGCATCACGTCGGACACTATGAGTTCGGGTAAGGGAAGTTCGGACTCTGACAAATTGTCGGGTGATAAAACTAGTCGAAAAGGTAGTAGCGGAGATTCGGAAAAGGGAGACGATGTATATAATAAATTATCGAGGGGAACGCCGAAAGCGAATAATTTTCACAATAATAAAAACAAATACGAGTACAGGAGGAAATCGTTGGCCGTCGTCGAAAAGCCGCGACTTAGCGAACATTGGCAACATTCGAGAAGGAGCAGCGTGTCGAACGCAATGGAAAAAAACAACAAAAGGGAAAACGTTGTCGTCGCTCCGCCCCAGAAACCTCCTCCGTTGACCGTGACGTCAATCGAAATAGTTAAAGTAGTACAAGATGAAAAAAAGAATAAATTGAAAGACGATGAATCGATATTATCGAACGCGTTGAACGAAACGCGAACGGGAGATAACCGTTACTCGCGAGAATTCGAAACGTCCTGTTGGGGTTTGCAAAATTTAAAAAAAGACACGACGACGTTCAATCATCAAAATCAAACGGTCGTCATAAACAGCATATTGAAGAATTCGTTGCAATCGAGCGTATCGTCCAAATCCGAAGATAATTTAGTCATAACGACGTCGAAAAAAAAAACGACCGGAAATTCATTGGCGAACAATTTGAACGCGTCCAAAACGGAAGAAAGCATTGAAAAACAATTTTCCGGAAAAGGTGGAGGTGGAGGAGGCGGCGGAGGTGGAGGCGGAGATAAAAAAAGAAAACTCGGGAGCAACGGTCATTTGTTTTTTTTAAACCGGTTGAAACACATTAAAGATAAAATAACTTCCGGTCGCGAGAGTGACGGAGGAAACGCGGAGAACAACGGGTCAAACGTCGGTAACAAAACTTCCGGTTTACAAACGAGTTGTGAAAATCAATTTTGTTTAAAAGAGTGCGCCGATGACGGAACGGCGGAAACCGTTGAAAAATCTAGAACTCTCGGCAAGGGTAAAAAACAACTTCTACAGAACAGAACGTCCGGAAGAATGAGAAAAGGTTGGAAAGTACTCATTGGTAGTAAATCCGACGGTACTTCGTCCTCTTCGTTGGACGTTCCCTCGTCGCCGGGAAGTCCGAGTCCGGTTCATTCGGAAAAAACGAGAAGGAAATCGTCCGCGGAAGAATTGAAATCGACGAGGTATAAATTTTTTGACGCGACACCGGTGAGCGGGGAAAAAAAAAAACCGTCCTCTACCGCCACGACCACCACTACGGCCACGACTACCACCATGACGTGGATGTCGAGTCCGAAAAAATCAAGTTTCCTCGGTAAGATCGGTAAAAGCGAAGATGATTCGAGTTACGGTCGTCATCATCATCATCATCATCACCATCATCACAACATATTAAACAGTTTGACATCGAGTTTTCGGTTGAAGAAAAGCGGCGGAACCGGAAATAAAAACGATGAAGACAACAATGGCGCCGCCGGTTCTTCCAGTTTCGCAAGAGAAGGCTCTAAACCAAATTAGCGTTATTTTTAAATGTTTTTAGGTTAGCTAGATTTCTTACATGTGATATTTTTATATTATCATCATCATCATCATCATTAGCGTTTTGTTCGGGGTTTCCCCTCCCCTCCCCTCTTCCCTCTTTCTACGTACTTTTGATTTTACGTTTCGAATTTATTAATTTTTAAAAGGTAACGGCGGGTCCGAACATTTCATTTCTAAAATTTTATCACTGTTGTTATCATTATCATCATCATCATCATCATCATTATTATTATTACTGCCATTAACCTTTGTGACGCTACAATTAACGCTTGCAATTATACAGAAATCAAAAAGACGAATAAGGGAAAGAAACGGTTCGGTTAATGTCGTCACCTACTCTATGATTATCCACGTAAAAGTAATTAATTAAAGAGTCATAGAGTAAATAAATTTTTTACGTGAGAAATTTTCCTATTTTTTTGATATCTTTAAATAATATCATTTGCATGTATTTTTTGCCGTCGGAGAAAACGGAAATAATAATAATAATAATAATAATAATAATAATAAATGATTTTATGCCTGATGTTTTTCTATATGTATATTACGTTAATTATTTTTATTATCATCACTGTTATCATTATTATTATTATTATTATTATTATTATTAATATTTTTAAATTTTTTTTCGCGCAATGAAGAAATCGTAAAATTTGTTATTATTATTATCATCATCATCGTTTTGTTTTTTTTTATTGGTAGGATAGGAGGAAACGAGGTGGATTCGGTGGGAACGACGATGTCGGGTATTACGCTTAATTTATTATTATTATTATTGTTGTTATTAATATCATTATTATTATTGTATTTTTTTTTTAAATTTATATTAAAGTTAGTTACCGTTATCAAACGTTAAAATTTTTAAAAATTTCGTTTGTGACACGACGTTTTTTTTTTTTTATTTTGAATCGCATCGTCTGCTTTTACTAACAAAAATGTAATTTTTTAATTCCCGCGTAAACAAAAAAAAAAAAAAAAAAACATCGGATGAAAACTATCGGAAAATTTTTATAAACAAATGAAATGATAATAATAATAATGATGATGATGATGATGATGGTGATGATGTTTATGACGTATGAAACTAATTTATATATATTGATTATTAATTTAAAAAAAAAAAACAAAAAAAATCTTGCCGAAAAGTGGATTTTGATTATTTTATATATTTACATTAATATTTTTTGCCATTTAATATTTGTGATTAATAAATAACCGGAAATTAATAATAATAATAATTATTATTATTAATAATTTATTAATTTATTATTATTACGATGTGACGTAAGAAAAAAAAAAAAGCGTAAATTTTTGCCATTTGACGAGGTTGAAATTTTTTCTATCTCTTCCTCTCTCTCTCTCTCTTTCTTTTTCATTTTCGTGCCACGTTGCCACGTTTTTTTTTTTTTTTTTAAACTAAAAATGTCATAGAGTAATTAAAAAATAATAATAAAAATTTAATTTTTTTTTCTTTCTCTCTATGATTGATGATTGTTCGACTGTTGTGTATGACGTAAGCATTCATCCACTGACCGTTTATATGTGTGTGTGTGTGTGTGTGGGACGAAAAGAGAAAAAAAAACGAACGAATAACTTCCGGTTAGGATAAAAATAACCGTAACCGGAAATAGCATTTAAAAAAAAAAAAATTTTTTTCTTTTTCTTTTTTGTTTTTGTCGTAATTAAAACAATACGAAATTTGAAAAATAATTTCGAAACAAGAGTGATGATGATGATGATAATAATAATAATAATAATAATAATAATAATAATTATTATTATTATTATTATTATTATATGAAAGATATAATTGCACACTTAAAAACTTTTCAATTAAAACTTTCATTTAAGCTTTTCTTTCTTTTTTTCTTATTTTTAATTGTTTAATCGTCGTCGTTATTAAATCTTTTTCATAACTTTTCTCTTTCTCTCTCTCCCCTCCTCCCTTACTCTCTCTTTTTTTAATATTTATTTTTAAAGAAATTTTTTGGAGAGTCGTTTATCATAACAATTATTATTATTATTATTATTATTGTTATTTTCAAAAGCCATAATGAAAAATAAAAACTTTTTTATTTATAAATAAATAAATAAAAATCTGGGCGAATGCTACGAATATGTATTATCATTATTATCAATATCATTATTATTACTATTATTATTATTATTATTCACCGGGCCAAAAAAAAAACGTGAACAAAATTTTTTATAATAATTTACAAAAAAAAAAAAAAAAGTTAGTGAACGATTAATTCAAACCGACCATGAATTATTTATAAATTTTATTATTATTATTATTATTATTATTGTACTTTAATGAAACATAATCGCTTTAATAATCATTATTATTATTATTATTATTATTATTATTACGTGCGCGTTCAATTTTTTTTATATTAAATTATAAAAAAAGCCATAAAGTTGAGTGCCAAAAAAAAAAATTTCCTTTTTTTTTTCTATAAAATATTTATTTTCATCATCATCATCATCATTATTATTATTATTATTATTATTATTATTATTATCGTCGTTTTTGCTATTAATTAAATAGAATTTCAATTAAATAGTGATACACATATATATATATAAAGAGTTTGATGATTTTTTTCAAAAACTTTCTCAGGTTGACACAAATTCTTTTATTTTATCAAAAAAGGAACAAACGAACGAACAAACAAACGAACAAACAAACAAAACGACACACATTTATGGGGGAAAAAAACCACACAAAATGGCGGCACATTTATATTTAATTATATATATTAAAATTATATCATTGTAATTTGTGTATATATATGCATATAAATAAATTTTTCTTTTTTTTTTGTTTTAATTTCTAAGTCAAATCACAATTGAAAATAATTGTAATAATAATAATAATAATAATGATAATAATGATAAAAGCTTATTAATTTGTTGTCGTTGTCACAAAATAAATATAAATATTATGTTATATTATATTAAATATATATATATATATTATATAAGAGAATGTATATTATTGAATATAGTTTTTTCTTTCTTTTTTTTTTCTTTTTTTTTTTGTTAATTATTAATTAATTTTATCGATGGTGAGTGCGTGCGCGTGTGCGTATCGAGAATTGAATTATATTAAATTTATTATCAACCATTAAAAACCGTTAAAAAATAAAACATTTATTATTTATTATATAAATAGTTAAATTGTTTTGTTTACATTACCGTTATAAATAATAATTTATTGTTTTACTCTATGGAATCGAAAATTGTATTAATTATTATAAACTTATATTAATTAAACGTACGTACGTAATTAAATTGTTTCGTGCAATTATTATTATCATTATTATTATTATTATTATTATTACGTAATAAAATATAACGATGAATAATATTAAGTTTGAAAAAGGAAAAGTTTGTGTTTAAATTTGATGAAAATTTTTTTGTTTTTTTTTGAAATTAACGGTTATTATGTTTAACGTTTGATGACGTAGTAAAAAGGCAACATGTCGAACGATGAGTAATAAATAAATAAATAAATTTAATTAATTGCTAACGCACTCGAGTTTTTTTTTTCGTTACGATTTCCTCCTATACGGTCGTATCGTATTTACATAATTACATATATGTAAATAATTTCGTGTAATTTTACAAAAACAAAAATAATTAATAATAATAATAAATTAATTAATTAAAATAAATATTTATTTTATTTAATTTTATCGAATCCGTAAAAAAAATTTTAAATTTACCGCGCGCTTCCATCGTTCGACGTAACGGTTTTTCTTCGTAGCATACGTACTCATGCGCAGTGACGTAATAATAACGAAAGCGGTTGCCATTTATATAATTTTTGCAAAGTTTTTAATTAATTATTCATTGTTTAAATAAATAAATATTAATTTTTTCGTTCGTTCACAAACGCGATACATTTTATTTTATTGTCGTTAATTAATATTTTGTTTCGTTGTAAAAAAAAAAGAAATTTTGTTTTCACACGCGTTGAATTTCCAATACACATGGGAATAAAATTAAAGATGGCGTCGTATTTGTTTCAGATACTCATTCGCATACAGGTAATTGATGTTTATTTTTAAAAAAATAACTTTTGATTCGTTTTTATTCATTTATTTATCGATTTAATAATTAAATTTAGTGAAATTAATGTTTTTTCATCGTTCAAATGCAATTTTTCAACTTGAAAACATAACAAAATCTCCTAATTCTATCAGTTTGTATATATGTTGTCATGATCTGATTCCATTATCGGTTCTCCACGTTAATTGACCTCCACGTTAGTGATACTACTCTAAATTATAACAATAATTGAATACATTTTTGGGGGAAGAAGAATTATATTTGTAAGTAAGCAAAATAAAAATAAAACTTTTAACATTATTTTACATAAACTGTACAGGTTAACTACTTAATTTCATGAACATTGCACTACACAATCACTAATTTAGATGTTAGACACAAACCAAAAAATGTTAAACTTGAACACAAAGATGATCAGAAGAAAACAGATGAACAAAATACAAATTAGCTAAAATATCAAGTCACCTTTTTTTATAAGCTCAGTTTTCTGTTACTGTTTTGTTACTGAATGCACAACCAACTAAATTAAAAAAAAAGACTGATGCTGTTAGTAAATAAAACAAATGAAAGAGTTTCTAGAACCTTCTACAAAGTATCTCTGTGTCCAAGAGTTTGTATCTGTGGTTTCATTGTTACACTTTTGTTTACAAAAATATGAACATTTAATGTGGGATCATGACAATGTATATAACAGATCACTATCCCCTCTTTTTTCATGATTTCTTTATTATAATAACATTATTCTGATTGGTTTTGCTTTAAATTAGTTTATTGTAAATGTTAAAATGTTACAACAACACACACAACCACAAAATCATGCAGCAACAACAACAACAACAAACTTTGTATTTTGCCACAACATTTTCATTCAACAGAACTATTATTATTATTTTCACATTTATAAACATAATCTAATCATTCATGGATTGATAATGAATTATAAGAAACAGTATACAGTATTGTTTTTTATTGTTTTGTATAAAAAAATATTATTAAATAAATTTATGATGATGATAGTTTGTTTTGAACATTAGTATAAATGATATGGTTTACCTTTTATTATTATTATTATTGTTTTTAAAATTGCAACAAAAACAAATAATTTTTTCTTTTAACCAGAAAAGGGTTGTAATATTTTTTTTTTTAAATTTTATTTATTTGTTTTTCTTCTTAACCATAATTAGAATAAATAAGATGCAAATGGGAAAAAAAGAAAAAAATTTTTTTTTTCTTTTTTTTTTTCTGGTTTAGAAATTTCTATAAATTGCTGATTATGAGCATCGTCAGCAGGTTGAAATTACTAAAAAAAGGAATATATAATTAAACATAATAAGTAAAAAAAAAAGAAAAAAAAATTTTTTTTTTCTTTTTTTAAACTTGGAAAGGTTTAAAAATAATAATTTTTAATTATTATTATTATCATCATCATTTTTTTCCCTTAATTACCACTTAAGGCCAAATTTTTTTTCTTCCCTTTTTTTTTGCCTTTTTTTAAGCAAAAAAAAAAAAGAAAAAAAAACCAAAAGCCATAGGTTTATTATTAAATATAACAAACAGATGCTTCCGTTTCCTTTTTCTCTTCTTTTCTCTCTCTCTCTCTCTTTTCATTAAATATGTTTTTCAATAGCTAAATAAAAAAATTTTTTTTTTTGCTGAAGGTTAGTGAAAAAAACTAACAAAAAAATGAAAACTATAAATAAAATATTTTTGAAAAAAAAAATTTTTCTCTGTTTTATAACATTTTTTCTTTTTTTCTTTTTCTTCATTGGGTGTTAAAAAAATTTGGCAGTTTTTCTTTTTAATAATTTTTACGATGGGAAAATGAAGAAAAATTAGAAACGACAGCGTTTAATGGTTAAATAATAAAAATGAAAAAAAAAAAAATTTTTAAGATTTTAAGAAATCACGGTTTGTTGTTGTTATTATAATTTTTTATTGGTTTTAATAATATCAAATGTCTTATCACTCACCCCCTCTCTCTCTCTCTCTCTCTTTCTCCCTTACTCTCCTTGTCACTCGATATTCCATTTCATTCTAAAGGTTTCTTTCATTGTCTCAAGTACCCTCTTCCTCTCTGAGTCTCTTATTTGGTCTTTTTGTTTCTCTTTTTCTCTCTCATTTGGTCTGTATATTTCCCTCCCTCTCTCTCTCTAATTTGGCCTGTCTGTCTCTCTCTCTCTTTTTCTGTCTCTGATATGATTTATTTTTCTATCTCTTATTTGCTATTCCTTTTTATTCTATTGGTTTCCTTTATTGTTTCAATTTCTCTCTCTCTCTGTCTGTATTTTAAGGTCTTCCTCTCTGTCTCTCTCTTATTTAGTTTGTTTGTCTCTCTCTAATTTGGTTTGTCTATGTCTCTCTCTCTCACTCTCTTCATTTTCTCTTTCTGTAATTTTCTTTCTTTCTCTTATTTGGCCTGTCTTTCTCTCTATTTTTCTTTTACTCACCCTCTCTCTCACTCTATCTGTTTTTATTTTACTCTCTCTCTCTGTTTTTCTTTTGCTGTCTTTCTCTCTCTGATATGATATTTTTCTCTTTCTTTCTCCTTCTGTCTCTATCCCACTCACTATTCCTTTTCATTCTATCGGTTTCTTTTATTGTCTCAAGCTCTTTCTCTCTTTTTCAGTTATTATTCTTTCATTTCATCTCTTTTTCGACCGATCCTTCTTCATTTGTTACAATTCAATTTTTTTTTCCATTGTGTTGTGTTGTTCATACTTGTATTATTATTATTAATTATTTCCTTATATGTAAAAAAAACCTTTTGTTTTTTTTTAAAACATCTCATCAACTTTAAAAGGTATCGAAACACATGTTTTTCATCTCATTATTATTATTATCATTACCTAAATTTTTCCATTTCAGAATCAGAAGAGAAAGAAAAATTTTTTTATATTTACCATAATGAAAAACAGGAGGAAACAAAACGATGTGATGATCAAAGGATAAAAACAAAAAGGAATTTAAAGGTAAGTAAAAAAAAAATTCAAAGGAATTTTCTCTCTCTCTCTCTCTCTAAAATCCCGTTACGAATAAAAAACGTGTTAAAAAAAAAAAAAGTTAAAACGATCGAAATCATATCGATAATAACGATATTATTATTATTATCATCATCATTGTTTTTTTCTTTAATATTTAGCTTATTAAGCAAAAAAACGCTTAAATAAATTAATAATCACGTGACTGTAAAAAATAATTTTATGTAATTCGTAATGCATTTTTTTTTTTTTACGCGTTTAACACTCTCATATTTAATTCTATAATAACGATCCGCCATTTTTATTTTACTTTTTTTTACATAATGATAATAACGAGGGAAACTTAACGAAATTATCATCATTATTATCGTCATCATCATTATTTTCTAAATTAATTTTTTGCACGCGATTCGTTACATTATGAAATTTGTAACATTTAAAAAAAAAAAAAAAAAAAAATTATTTTAAATTGAAATTTATATAAACGTTAGGATTATCATCATCATAATAATAAATAATAGTCGAAGAGGGGTTTGTAAAAAAAAAAAAAAAAACAAATTTCAAAATGGCGTCGTCGACCGTTAAAAAAAAAAAAAAAATTTAATATTTTCAAGGTTTTCTTTTTTTTTTTTTTCTCAATTCCAAATATAAAAAATTCGTCGTCGTCGTCGTCGTTACACGAATCGGTTTTTATAAATCATAACCGATATTAAAACAATCAATCAAACAAACAAACAAACAATAAATTAAATAATCGAAAAAGTGACTGGATTTTATTATTATTATTATTATTAGTATAACGGCCGCTTTTTGATTTTGTTTTTTTTTTTTTTTTTCTCGATCGTTTCCGTTCAACACACGCAAATATAAATTATCATTATTTATTTAATCGAATCACCGGAAACTAAAATTAAACACGTTTCGATCAAACATCGTGCCGTATATATATAAAAAAAAAAATTTTTTTATTTTTAAATCTCACTCGTTATTAAAAACAGAAAAGAAAATCCGCCATTTTCCTCCCTCCCCACTACTTACTCTCTGTCTCTCTCTCTCTCACTTATTATTTTCCAACGTTTTTCTTCTTGTACGTTCGTAAAAAGTCGTAAATAAAAAATTAAAAAAAAAAAGAAATTTTATTATTATTATTATTAGTATTATTATTATTATTCGCTTTGCAAAAAAAAAAAGACTACGTCATAAAACAAAACAATAATAATAATAATAATAATGATGATGAAAAAATAAATAAACAAAGTCGAAGGTCAACACAATTTCTTGTTACGTTACGTTATTTAAAAAAAACGCGCGGCCTACTTAATTCAAAAAAAAAAAAAAAAATTCGTTCGCGAATATTCAAAAGTTGGCAACAATGATTGAGAATATTTAGGCATGTTTTTTTTTTTTTTTTTGCATTGAATGATGATGATGATGATGATATTGTTGTTAACTTCAGCAAATATTATTCGTTCCTTGCTATTCGTTCGTTCGTTTGTGTGTGTGAGTGTGTGTGTTTGTCGCGTTATCACACATTATCAGTTCGTATCGTTATTCGTATTTTTTTTTTTTCTTTTTCGAGATTATATTTATAATAATAATAATAATAAAATCGATTTAATTGTTTTTTTTTAAACGATCGGGATGAGGGGGAGTGGGGAGTGGGAAGAGAAAGAGAGAGAAAGAAAAAAAAATTTTAGTTTTAAGTGATGTAAAGGAAAATTAACGTGGATTTAACAGTTTTTTTTTTTTTTTTTTTTTGTTTGGTTTTTCCGGAAATAATGTAAAATTATTATCATTATCATTATTATTATTATTATTATTAAATAAAAAGTGATATAGAAATAATAATAAAAAAAAATTACGTATTCTTTTAATTAAAAGAAAGAAAGAAAGAAAAAAAAAAAAAATTTAAATAAAAACAAACAAAAAAAAAAAAATGTACGATGATGATGATGATGATGATGATGACACGTTTTTTTTTTTTTTTTTAGTTTCGTGTGTTATTTAAATAATTATTTATGATAATAATTTGTCTGGTTGTTGTTGTTGCCGTCATTGTCGTTGTTGTTGTTGTTGTTGTTGGAAGAAAGAAGTAAAGCAAAAAAAAAAAACACAAAAGTTAAATTCTCGTACGTTAAAAAAATATTAATTTACTGTTTTTTTTTTTTTTTTACGTCTGTTTTTATAATTATTTCATCGACAACAACAAGCAACAAAAAGGAACAAACAACAACAACAACAACAACAACAACAACAACAACAACTGTGCATTTGAATTTATCACGTATATTTTAGAAAAAACGTTTTATTTTTCGATTCGATTTTGTTTTGTTTTTGTTCGAGTTTTTCATTTTTCGCATCGTTTTGTGTTGTTTTGTGTTGTGTTGTGCCGCCGTTATGGTTTACACTCCGAAAAATAACGATCATCCTAAAAAGGAAAAAAAAAAGAAAAAACAAAAAAGAAAATCATCGACGGATGAAACGACGATGACGATGACGTCGACAACCGCGACGACAACAACCACGACAACAGATCAAGAACAATCGACGCAAACGATTCCACCGTCGGAAAATTTATTGATGAAAAAAAATCTTATTTTACAAAAATCTAAAACTCTCATGGATTTTCGTAGGAAATCGAAAACGATCGATAAATCATCATCGATTCCGGATTCATCCGTGTTTCGTTTGGAATGGAATCAATTATCGTTTCGTAAGAAAATCAATAGGTTCATACAAAATTCGCCATTGTTGACGAGAGGAAATTATTTGAAAAATACTCAGAGTTTAAAAAGTAATTTAAATTTTTTATCGGATTCTTTGGAAAGTTTAAAAATAGACGAAAATAAAATATTGAACACTCCGACGAATCCGATTCCGTTCGATTTATCGAAACCCTCGTTTTCCATGTTCGAGAATCAAAAAGTTAAAATGTTGAAAAAATTCAAATCGAAAAGTTGCAACGATTTTAACTTGAATGAAAAAAAATATTCAATGATGATGATGACGATGATGATGATGACGTCATCGAAGGGGGTGACGACCGAGACGATTCCGTTAGGATATGTTGGAAATGTATGGAAGCGGAAGAAGTCGGAGAAGAAAAAACAATCAATAAAAAATCATCATCATTATTATTATTATCAGGATTGAAAAAAGGTGGTAGCTTATGGAATTTATCCCCTTTATCACTGGATAAGATAACGGGTAAAAAAATTATTAAAAGATCGGAAAGTCTTCAATTATCCTCGTCGACGTCGTCGTCGTCTGGATTCTGGTCTAAAATTCCAGTGAGTATTTATATGAAATTTTTTTTTTAATGCTCCCTCCCCTCCCTCCCTCCCCTCCTCCCTCGACAAACATCGCGTTTAGATGACGCTTATGCAATTTAATATCACCGATTATGTTGTTGATGATGATGATGATGGCGTTGAAATGAATTTTTTTAAATTTATTATCACGTGATCATATTATCAAGCATGTAAATTTTAAATACGAGAAAAAAAATCGGAAAATTGTTTTTTCCGTAGGGTAGGGATAGGAAAAATTGTTGTTGTTGTTGTTGTTGTTATTGTTGCTTGGGAGAAAGTTTGTTAACGACAGAAACTTTTTTTTTTAACCGTAATCAATCACCGATGGAAAATAATTTTTTGAATAATGACGCATTTTTAAAAACAAAAACCCGTTCGTTTTTTTTCGACAACAACAACAACAACGACAAATGATAACATTAATCGGGTAGTATCGATTGTTAGTTAATCGAAGAAACCATTTTTTTTTTTGTTTAATCTTACCTCGAAACGCGGGTAATTTATTTTTTGTTGTTGTTAGAAAATAAGAATTTATAGTTTTTCTTCTCCTAATACAAATGACTTTAAATTTTACCGTTTATATTTTTATTATTATTATTACTTTCGAAAATAAGGTTTTGTGTATTTTTTGGAGTTTTTAATCACTCATTCTAGGTTTCTACCTGATTCCACAGGAATGAATGCTTGGATTTCGTTGGTCCTGCTGTCTTTCGAAGAATGTGAGCTGTCCCACATAGTGCGATTTCCCGGATGGTTTCTTCCTTTAGGTTCTTCAAAATCTTCTTTGAATTTTCTTTTATTGAATGTGGCATGGCTCCCAGTGCTCCTACGGGAACCGGAATAGTTTCTGTTTTCGTTCCCCTCACATTCTGGCTATTTCAGCCTTTTGCCCTCTTCTTTGGCTGTCTGGTGTGTTTTTCCGCCGGTATGGATACTTCCATTAGCTTACACCACCTTTCAGCATTATGTCCCAGGATGATATCCGGTTTGTTGGCTGACACAGTTCTGGATTTGTTGATCGTACAGAACCGTGCATGAACCCACTGTCGTAACCGGGGTGGTATATGGTTGTACCACTCCTTGGGTAATCCATCCATTCCACATTCGCGACAGATACTCCAGTGAAGATATTGACGAATTTTATTGTGCCTTTCTAAGTATTCATGTTTTGCCAATATCGAACAACCGGAAATAAAATGATCGATTGTTTCCAATTGGCAAATTCGGCCCACAACATTTTGACAAACCTTAAGAATTACCTTCTTCTTCTTCTTATTATTATTATTAATATCATTTGACCTAGATTTTTATTTTTATTTTTTTTATTTTTATTTTTTATTCACTCTTTCAAATCGTGATTCATTTAAATCGATTAAAATTAATTAATAAAAATCGATTAAAATTAATCGAATTAATTTTTGATTGTGTGCGTTTTTCGGAACATTTGCCAAAAAAATGAAAATAAAAAAATTATAACGTAGTAGTTAAAAAAAAAGTTTAACGTTTGAATAATTAGTTTTCTATGTTTTGAGGTTTCGAAACAAAAGGTTTTTTTTAATTCCTTTTAAAAACCTTTTGCTTGATTAATGTTTCTAAAAATTTCGCGGTTTTTTTTTTTTTTTGAAAAACCCCGTTTTTCTATCTCTTATTTCCACTTGTCCATTTTTTAATGACACGTTTTTCTTACAAAAATGTTTTAATTTAATTTCAAAAAACAAATTGATCGATGAGTAAAATTTCAAAATAATAATAATAATAATAATTTGACCTTTACCGGGAGAGAGGGAAGGGCAAAGGAGGAGCAGGGGAATGGGAGTTGAGGGGGGAGGAGGGATTAACAAATTTTTTAATGATTACGTGTTTTACATTAAAAAAAAAAAAAAAAAAATTAAATCGTTAAAATTTTTTCGTTTCGTCGTAAAAAAAAAAAAAAAGTTTAATCGAAACGTATATGAAAAAACAAACAAACGAACAAACGAACAAACAAACAATCGTGGTAAATTATTTATTTATTATTTTTTTTTACCTGCAACAAATGAATTACGTGGAACATTTAAACTTTGATTAATGAAAAGCATAAGTTTATTACAATTTTTATTACTCAATAAAAAAAGGGGAACAACAACAACAACAACAACTTTATTACAACATGTTTTTTTTTTTTGGTAAAAGGAAACACGAATCACGTGGTTTTAAATTAAATTTTCTTTTTTTTTAAGGCTATATAAAATAAAATTAAAAAAAAAAAAAAAAGAAAAAAGTTTTTTTTGATTAAATAAATTAATTATTTTATTTATTTTAAAGGTGATATATAAATATCTTTTTGACGATTATGGCTTCATTATTATTTTCGTTTTTTTGCGATTAATTGTTTTATAACAAATTAAAAATGATAAGTAAAAAAAAAGAATATTATTATTATTATTGCATCATACGATTATTATTACAGGGAAAAAAAATTTATGTATTGTTAAAAATCACGTTAGAAATTTTCCTGTACGAAAAAAAGAGAAAAAATTTAAATGAAAGCAATGAGTGAGGGAGAAAAGATCTTGAAAAAGACTTAATAAAGATGAATAATGAGAGAGAGAGAGAGAAAGAGATGGACACAGAAACAGAAAAGGTGTAATAGATGAAAAAGAAAGAGAGAGAGAGACGGAAAATTTAGAAAACGTCAAAGAGAGAAATGGAAAATGTGGAAAAGATGAGAAAGAGAAGCGAAAAAGGTGTAAAATGTGAAAAAAAGTGAGAGAGAGGCGGAAAATTTAGAAAACATCAAAGAAAGAGAGAGAGAGAGAGAGAGAGAGAGATAGAAAGGGAAAGGGTGTAAAAAATGGGAGAGAGAGAGAGAGAGAAAGGGAAAGAAAGACGAAAGAAATGTAAAAGATGAGAGTTAGAGAGAAAATGAGAGAGACGAAAAAGGTGTAAAATATTAGAAAGAGGAATAGAGATGGAAAATGTAGAAAATATCAGAAAGAGAGAGAGAGAGGCGGAAAATTTGGAAAACATCAAAGAAAGAGAGAGAGAGAGAGAGAAAGAATGAATTTTTTTTTCCGAAAAAAAACGTCTCTAGGGTTTAACCATTTGCATCATTGTTTTAAAATTGGTCTCAGGTGAAAAACCGGATTTTCATTTCGAAATAAACTCAAAACCATTATTTTAAATTAATATTACTTCTCCCTCTCTCCCCTAAACTCTCCCTTCCCAATTTCTCCCGTTTTCAAAAAAAAATACGAGGGGGTAAAAAATTCAACGGTCATTTATACAAATTTAACAAAAATAATAATAATATTAATAATAATAATAATAATAATAATAATAATAATAATAATAATAATAATAGTAACAATAATAATAAAATTAATTAATTAACAATAACGAAATGTGTGTGTTTAAACGTTTAAAAAATCATTTAAATAAAATTGCAATGAATAATACATATATAATTTGACCCGTGAGAAAAATTTAAAAAAAAACAAAAAAAGATGGCGCTCATATTTTTTAATAACAATTTCCGATTTTCTTTTTTTCTCTCCTCCGCAATTATTATTATTATTATTAATACTTTTACGTTGAATTTTGATAATCGTTTAAATCACGAATCGAACTAAATACCGTGTCGAAGAAAATTTTTTCGTTTCGCGTCGAGAAAAAAAAAAAAAAAACAAACATGGTTGTCTTATGTAAAGTCATGCACATAACAAACAATGGTGCAACTCGATCGTAATTTATTAATGACGTGTAATAATCTCTTTTTATGTCACCGTCGTCGTCGTCGTCGTTTGTTTTTAAAAAAAAAAAGATGGAGGTTGCCATATTAATTTTTTATTTTTTTTCTTATCATTCAAGTGAGTGTTGACCTTGATGTTATCTCAAGATAAAAACAAATACCTTATTCAAGTTCCCGTGAACTTTTATCGCAAGTTTATGTAAAAAAAAAAAAAAAAAAAAAAAATTCCCTGCACAATCATCGTTTATTATTATTATTATTATTATTATTATTATTATTATTATTATTATTATTATTAGTATTATTATTAATGTCTTTTTTTTTGTTTTTAATACAGGAAAACGATCGACGTTGTCGAAATGATGGGGAAAGAGGAGACGAAGAAAATTCTGGGGAGAAAAAAGAGGGAAAAAAAAACGAATTTTGCATTAGATGCGGATTGCCATTGTTTTTATTATTTAATAATGAATCGAAAGCTACGACTCAAAGGGTGAGTTTATTTTTTCTTCTTTTTTTATTTTTTTTTGTGGGGGGGGGAGGAAAGAAGGAAGGGGAGGAAAAAAAAGGGCGTTCGGAAAATTTAGGAGAAAATTATTATTATAGTAAGGTTTGGTTAATTTTATATATACATAAATCGTCGACGACACGTTTTTTCCATTTCGTTTTAATTTATGTTTAAAAATAATAATTTCTCCCCTCCCTCCCTCCCCACAATAAAATCGATCGAAATCATAAAGAAATTAAAATAAATTCCCCCCCCTTTTTTTTTTTTTTTTTTTTTAAATTTTCATTCGAAAAAAACTTTTAAAAATTTTAATCTTAATTATTTAAAAGTCACAATAATAACAATATCAATAATAATAATAATAATAATAATAATAATAATAATAATAATAATAATAATAATAATAATAATAATAAAAACTTGCAAAGAAATTTTTTTAAAAAAAAAGTTATTTAAACAAAAAAAATTAAAATTACGGTCCCCTTCCCCCCTCATCTTATTTGTGTTATTAACTTATTAAAAAAAAAAAAAGTTTTAAAATTTATTACCTTTTCCCCATAGAAAGAAAAAAACTCATCGAAATCCTTTTCTGTGGTTTAAACTTTTTCCCTATGGTTTTCTTTATTATTATTATTATTATTTTGACACAAAATTAATAATACCCTCTTGGAAATTTCTAGTAAAATAAAATCAATAAATTTATTTATTTATTTGTATAACGAATATATATAAAAATGTCGTGACACGAACTCATTTTTTTTATTTATTTTTTAT